GCTACAATGTATATGTGTGTGTGTTATCGGTTATCGGTATCGGCATCAGCCTTTAGGAGCTAAAAGTTATCGGTTATCGGTTTTAAAAAACTGTTATCGTGCATCCCTACTGACATTAATTCAAATAAAATGCTAATTCTTATGACTACCAACAAATGCATTTTAACTCTACTATATTCATGCGTGACATGCCATTCGTGACCCAAGACCTAATCTTCTACAAACACACAAGCACATGTTTGACAGTTGTTTATGCTGCAGCTGATATGAATGAAAGAACCTTACCTGGGCTTCAGGGGTGAGCTGTTTCTCTCTCTCCTGCAAAGAGACCTTACAGTAAGACTGTAAGGCCAGGTAATTCTTCCTTTTCCACTTCCTGTCAAAGCGGTCTGCGTGCTGTTTGCAGTACGCAAAAAATGGATCTGCAATATCCTGAGGAAATAAAAACATATGCATGAACAATGCAACATAATTAGTAAGTAACTTACACTACATTGACATTATACCCTTGAGTCCCCACAGGTAGGACAATACAAACAGCAGAAGCAGTTTTCCCAGCTGCTGGCCTTCTGGAATCATTTAAGCCTAACCTGTTGCACTGGATGCCATCAACAGTTTGACTTGTTGATAGATGCCTTTCTGTAAAACTGACGTGGTTTGGGGTGGGTAGGTATTTCTCTGGATGCTTTGTTGTTATTGTTATTATTTTTTATATATATATTTATATATTTAAATATATTATATCTGAGTGGATATGTTAGTTGGCTAAAGTAAGCTTGAAAAGTTACTTTCCCAGCTAACGTGATCTACGACACTAACTTATGTATCATGACAATAAATTATGCAACGGGACATAGCTTTCTACTAGCTAAGAGCGATGCGAGGCAGGGGCATCCAACTAGCTAACTGTAGCTAAGCTAAGCAGGGGTTCTCTGGCTTGCGGTGTTTTGGCCGCATGGTGTGAGTCTGGCGTTGGTTGCTTCGTGGTGTTGGCAAGCTTGTTAGTAGTATGGAGTCCAAATAAAATATAGGAACTTCACTTTAAAGTCCTACACACAGAAAGATTTGTTACACTGAAAGTCATATGTAAATCTACCAATGAAAAACTTGTGACTGGGTGTGACAGAAGGCTGATGTTTTGTGTCTAAAAACTCAACCTTTTGAATATTGCTTCACTCATTGGAATTTTTGCACCCCGTCCAAAACAGCATTGTGGTTTGAATATCCAGGTTTTTTTCTCACCTCCTCTGCTGCAGCCTCAGACAACAGTCCCTCCCTCTGTGCACAGGTAACATGGAAATAGGAGCGACACATTCCTGCGTCACAGCTGATGCACACACCAGTCCTGGCAAAGCGGGCATCCTCACAGAAACTGCACTCCTGCATACAACAGAATACAACAGCGGGACTTCAAGTTGTAGCTGCAACAAGGAGAAAGTGACCACTGGTTTCTGTGATCCCATCCACATGAGTGGCTTTCTTATACACATATGTGCAATGAGGTTTTCCAGTTGTGTGGTGGAGAGAGACATGCATCTACCCAAAATGCATTTTCTCTCATGAGTCACCAAAGGCACCTCCTTTAGCTACACTACACAATGTATCAAGTGTGAAAACAGGATGGATAAAATGTTAAAACATGTTCTCCCTAGGAGCAAGACTTTAAAAGGTATTTTATCCGACACTCAAAGTGTCCAAACAGGCTTTCAGTGGTACGGCAGCTTCAAGTACCAAAAACTATGTCACTGTCAACTGCTGACAATGCTTTCACCTTAACTGACATTTCAACTTCTTTCACAACAAAGATTCGTTCATAACATGGACATTCAAATGCTCTGCTGGTCAGGACTCTATACATACATAGCGACCACGTTACATTGCGGTCCCCATCTCTCTCCTCTCCTCTCTGTCTGTATAAAGCCTTTTCCCATGGAGGGCCAAAACTGACACTCAACAATGAAACACAGGCTAAAGCATTGTTAATCTGCAGAACACTCAGCTCAGGTAGTTGGCCTAATGAATTTGCACTTTGTACTGTTAAAAGTTGAAGAATGATTGACGGGTAAATTTCTATAATATTATTATTATCAAGCTTACATAAGAACACGTCACAAAAAAAATAATTGGATTTTTCTATATAAAAATACAAAGGAAAAGATTTTTTGTAAATCTTTGTTTTCATTGTTGCATGTGTTTTCACTTCTTATACTTGAACTGACACATCAGCTACTTTCAGTGTTTATATGTCAACTGACAATTCCCCAGCTTTCACTTCTTACACATTTAAAGTACCAGTATTATCTGAATGAGTGTTAATTATGAGTTTATCTGGACATATTTTGATTGTATTAATTGATTGTATATCGTCCCATCCCTAATTTCAACAGTGTACACAACAACTGTTTTTTCGTCTGACTCACAGTTACAACGCCGATCTTCAGCTGTTAGGCTTCAACTGATGTACAGTATCTACTGCTGTCACAGCTGCGTATCAACAGGCACCTCGACTGAGACACTTACATTTGACTTCAACTGACATTTCAGGCGCTTTCATCACTTCTTAAAATGACAGCTCAAATGTTTTCATCGCTTACACTTGAACTGACAATTCCACTGCTTTCATGCTTTCATCTTTAACTTTATGCCCGACAATCCAATTTCAACTTATTCTTCAAACAAGAGTTCATTGTAGAATAGTATTTTCTCGTTCTAGTGGACAATAA